TTCAACAGAAATAATGAATATGAAAGTAATAAAGAAGTGTTAAGTGTTTATCAGTCCATAAGAGTGGATTGAAGATTTGCTCAACTGAGTGAATTCAAGGAAAGTCATAACGTTAACGTTCTTTCAGATACAAACACTAAAAATAATAATATCAGTGTTTATCATAATAAATTTGCAACCATTCTACTGAAGTTCACGGTACTCGTAATTCATAATATTAATTGACAGGCGGAAAGAGGAGGCTCCTGTATCAGGTACGTAAAAGTAAAAAAAAATAAAAATAATTTTTTATTACTACCAAATTATTTACATAAATATGTATCAGAACCTGGCAACAATGTTTCTAGGCGCCCTCTGTCATATACATCTTGAAGCTTGACATTTTTATCAGTATCGTAATAAACAAATTTCGTAATATGAAAGCTTTTTGTATTACATACAAGGACAAAACTTCTTCTTCTGAAAACATCTAGAATCACGAGTAGGGCCGTACTCGCCCCATTTGTATTAGTACTGTTGATCTTCCTCAACCAATTAAAAAAAAAGGGAAATGACTCTAATTTCGTTCACAGAATACGAACACATAACCTGTTCGAACACTTCTATCTGATTACATTTATTCAATCAACAGATAATTTCAAAAACAAAGATTTTTGTATTCCATATAACAGATCATCTTGATTTTTAGGGCGAGAAGAGGTTTTCTACGTGGTAAAATACAGTAAACTTAGTAATGTGATGAAAGAACAAGAGTTCTGAGAAAAAATTGCAGTTGTCTTTTCAACTTTCATAGAAGTTATATATGGCATTACACAAGGATCATTTTAATTATATTTACTCGACGATTAATGTACAATTTCGGTTTGCAGATGACCCTATCGTCGATTAACTTTTTCACTGTCAACAACATATTGCAGAGGAAAAATAAAATTGTTCGTCTGAATGTTCTTCACAATTATTTTAGAAAGCATTTATGTAATAATATGAATGGGAACAAAATAATTTGACATTTCCAAATAATATTTTGATTATTTATTTGGGAATTCTACCAAAACTTATTTACGCCAGTAAATAAGTGGAGTTGCACAAGTACTGTAGGAAAATCCTGACACATTGAGAGTAGCGTCTATGCGAAAGAATTTACGTTGTATTCAAATCTCCATATTCTATAACCATTTGGACAAATGCTTATTTCACTTTTTTTCTTCTCCAATCAGGCGATGGGGCTCTTTTTTGTGAGCGTTATATCAAAGAACTGATTCAAGCTTTATAAAACACTGAAAGTTACTGACTTTGCTATTTCAGTGATGCTTGGCACAAGGCCATATTGTGAGCCCTGACATCATCGTTTGCTTCTGTCATATCGATGGATGCTTGGGTATCACGTCTTTGAATTTACTATTTACTGTTACCCCAAACCGAAATTATTTCCAGGACTTCATCAAGATAGAAAAAAAAATAACACACAGTGTGTAGTTGTTAGCAAAGTGAAAAATTGGATTTATGATCTTTTTCAATAGAAAGTTGATGAACCATAGGAAAAAGGTTGGATGGAATATGGATACTAGGTGAACAATCCTTTTGATGGTAAAGGTACCCGAGAGAACACTATCGATGTCCACCTGCACGAACATAAACGATCCCTCAAGCCATAAGAAAACTTATGAAAATACGAGTGTCAACACCTATTGCGTTTTTCCTTAGACGGGTGACATATGAAAGAAAGGAGGTTACTTGTTGATCTGTGCTTACGGAAATCTTACTAACGATCACAAACACTGATTATATGTATGATGGTCAACATTTGAACAAACTTTTAAGCTTCTTCTTTCCTGGCCTTACCTTGCCTTCCTTCATCAACAATGATTGCCGCAGATAGGTCATGATTTTTTGCTTTTCACGAATACTTTTGTGCTCTTCCACAACATTGGCACGGAGTACTAGAATTCTTTCTTTGTTCGATTAGTCAGTTAATGGGACTCTTTGACAGAAGAGATGTATTTAATGTTGTACAACCCACCAGAGTTTAGGGTATGGTCTAGTGTTGGGTTTTTTGCTTTTTGTATGTAGTTTCATGATGCTTTCCCACGAAATCAGAACGGAGTACTAAAACTTCCAAAAATCTTTTTTTACCAGTCAGTTCATGGAACTCTTTGCCAGAGGACATTTCTTCAATGTTGTAGGCTAACCAGAGTTAATGGAAGAGTAGGGTTTAGAGTAGAAGCTTTTTGCTTTCTACAAATACTGTCACAAAATTGGGACTCAACACTAGAAGTACAAAGTATTCTTTTTTTTTCCAACCAATCAGTTAATGAAACTTTTTGCCAGAGATATCCTTAATGTTATACAAACAAACAGCAAAGTAAAGTGCATGGACTCAAATTTCAGAAGAAATAACGTTAGAAGAAACTGAAATAATGATTGGAGGAAGGAATATGTGGAGAAATGGATAATTAGAGACTCAGGAGAAAGTTCATTTGTAGTGATAAAGGTACACTTCGATATCAAAGTTCAAAAACTATCACTTCCTATTGAGATTTTCGAATTCGGGTTTATTTCCGAATAACCCTGTATAGATATATTTTATTATTAAAAATATCAACTGCGATGAACTATAATACTTTCCAGAATATCAAACTTCTTACCTCATAAATAACTTATAATGTTCTTCCTTCACTTCAAGCTTGTCATGGAAACCCAGCGTAACACACCCTGTATGTATCTTCTCATATATGTTACAATATTATACACTGCAAACTGATTATTGGTAAATTCAAATGTATATCACGAAAAAGTACTCAAAAGAAAATTTCATTGTTGTGGAAACTCGATGTTGAAAGTAATGAGAACGTTCCCTGCAAGTGATTGTCGATGGATATCTCTCGAATACCAGCAACGCTGGTGTTCCCCAGGGATCCATATTGTCTCCAACCCTATTTTCAATAAATATCAACGACTTATTGGAAAAAACTAATAATCCAATATATTGCTTTGCTGACATCACACTTGTCTCGTCATTCCATTTGGATTCGAGGATATTATCGGCTACGGAGGCACATCTTCACCGGCAGCAGGAGGTTGCATATCTTAATGAGGATTTATAAATACTTTTACGAGGAATGTTCAAGTGACTTGGCACACTTGATTCCACCAAGAGCGGTACCTATTGGAAATACGCGACGAACTGTGGCTGCTCATCGTTTTTAGGTTCAACTCACTACACCTCGAACTTCACTGTTTGAGAACTCTTCCATCTGGAGAACTGCGTTTATATGTAATAAACTTCCTTGAAACGTTTTTCCAAATGGATTTAATCTCCAGCAATTCAAATCCAATGTGAATCGCTACTTTCGCACATGCACCGCTCTGGGAGCGCCTTAAGAATTTTCCTGTAGTGCTTGTGTTTTGTCCTTGAGAAAAAAATTAGAAATGTTGGCAAGAGAATACCAGTTTTCTTGATGTAATTGTCCAGAAATGAATAACATATTTAGTATTGTACGAATAGAAAGAGTAATTGTCTCTGGAATGTATACCTTATATTACAATAAAACGATATTATTTTATTTATGTGTCAAATATTAATTTCAGGAAAAACAATAGTAATGAAAATATGACACCTTCGAAATGAAATATATCATAAAAATATATGAAATGTAGTGTCGTTATTATTTATTGATCGAAATTCACCCTTTATGAAATTTCCATGGAATAAAAGTTTGATAAACTAGAAAATCTCTAAGTTGATTTTCTATTTTTGAAAATCAATTCTTATATATTTCTAAGCCCGACGTTACCTAGCAGTAGTTGGCTGTTAATTTTGAGAATATCACAATCGAATACCCCTTATTTCTGGTATTGTAGTTGTGTATTGAGTCAATCATACAGACAGGTTGATAGCCCCCAAAAATATATTGCATATATAAGTCTACTTTCAACATGTGGGTACTATAGCTGCAGCAATTAACTGAGTTTGAAATTTTCCCTTATTCTGAATTCAATTTCTAAATTGAAAATTTATTGAATGCAGCATAGAGACACGGGATCCAGTTAAAAATATGTAGAACTTCAGCAAGTATAACATTTTTATTGATTAACTTTTTCCGTTTTTCATAGATAATAAAAGATATATCGTCCACAAAGATTGTAGATGATGCCGGTACTTGTTGATTTTCCACATCGTTAATATAGATTAGAAATAACATCGAGCAAAGAAAGACTCCCTGATAGATACCTAATTTATTTTTCTATGCTTTGAAGATCTTTATTTCATTGCAACATATTGGTGTCTACCATTCAAATATCATTTTATTCATTCGAATAATGTATCTTTGATACTGTATCGGTATAGTTCAATTAACAATATGAAGTGATTAACAACTTGCTGAAATCACAAAAAATCCCAACAGGGTGAGTGTGCTTTTAGGACATTTTATTGCACAACTAAGCATTTTGTCTTTTTTTTGTCTCTCTTTTTGTCTTATTGTAAAACTAATAAATGTGTAATCAAACAATTTTTGTCTCAAGTGTGTCATATGATATGCATTCTTGCATTTCTACAACAAATTCTCATTAATATTCAACTTAAAACAGTTGAAGATAGGCGTCTTCCACTCCCTAACCCTTGTTTCACGTATTCGTTATTCCGTTATTATAAACACAACCCACGGCCTATTGTCTACGGAATTTCGACCCCCTCGAAGAATCCGACACGAGAAGGGTTGAACCCTCGCGACGAATATCTTGAGGCCGACCCTGTCTTCTTGTTCCACTGCTCTCCAGCCATGTTTGTTTACATTCGTATCTCGCTGGCTGTCACTATTTCGGCTACTGATTTCGATATTTCTAACCCGAAAATCGACTTTATTTCTGGCAAATCGCATCTCTGTTACTTTCTCGATGAACATTTTCATCAAAACCCCGTCGAGGCCCAGCCGTTGATCCAGGTAAGAAAAGAATTTTCCACGGGATCATCTGGAAGTCTCGTACGTTGCGCAGGCGTACAAATTCGCGCCAATGCCCGGTACAGATGGCAGATGTTTTGTAACCATCGGTAAAGTGTACACGCCAGGCGATTTCGGGTTAGATTTCATGATTTTTTTGTCGCCAAACGGAAGTTCACACAACAATAAAAATCACACTACGGGATAGCGTGTACCTTACAGAATATGAATATCGATAATTCAAAGTTATCAAGTTAGCCTCGATGTTGTTTGAGCTTGTGTTTCGCGATCCTCTCTAGCCACTCTGCCGAGAACCTAGTTAGGAAACCATTTTGTTTAGTCCCGGAACATGTAGTTTTTTCCCTTTTACGTTTTACAATTTTAACAAAACTTGTTACCGAAACTTAGTGCAGTGCGTTGTACGAGGCTAGGACCAAATTGAAGGTAAGCTACGATACGTTTTTCTTTCGAAATTAACAGCCAAACGAAATGTATCATGGCGGGTTGTGGGTAGGGTAGGCGATTGTTTCGGTGGCATTTAAACCATCTCAGCAGACCGGTAAATTGAATTTCGGCGATTATCAAGATTTTACATACTTTCTAAATCCATTATCGATTATTTCGACGTCTAGTCGGCTTACCTTCGCCTTAGTTACGGCTCTCGAAATCGGTATGTTCTAAAACTGACCCTTCCGTTGCATTCCAACGGTTTTTAAAATTATCTAGCTCGTTCTTGGCTCTATTTGTGTATCGTTATTTCGTTATCGTAGGGGAGGGTTTTCTGTAATGAAATCTCAGGCCCATTAAAGGCCTCGCCAGGTAACGGGAATGTAAACGGCCCGATTAGAATATCAATATCGCCTTGACAAAAAAGTGAAGGTAACCAAAAAGTGGTCGAATCATTTCTAATTTTAGGGATTCAGCTGGGCATATGGGCGATATCAAAAGTGCTTTTTCAAATTCTAATATGGATTCTACTTCCATGTGTTTGCTGAGGAAATTATGCCATGTGTAGTCGACCTCATACGTTATTACATTATCTAGTGTGTGTGTGTGCTAAACTCAATGCATACTTATCGCAGTTGCACGAGGATATAACCAATAAAACTGCAAACACCACGTTGATTTTTCAGCCGATGAATTCCTGAAACGCTGAGAATTTGCTAAACTGGGGTTTTATCTAGTCGGTTGTGTTCTACAGGCCCCCCTTGAAAAGTACGTCGTTCGAGCAGGTTAAGGTCGTGAAAAGTGCTGCGATGTGGCTACATTTTGACGTTTTTGACAGTTCTCTTCATGGGAAGAAAGATAACTGTTTTAGTGCTTATTTTGACGGTTACCGCAAATGTCTGTTCAGACTCAAAAATGCAGTTCTTTAGTCATTTCTTTCAAATTGTATAAACAATTGAACAATTGTCGATTTGATAACATTTTTTTAGCATATGTGGATAGGATCAGATTTTCAATATTGACATATCGAAACAATAAACTTTCAGTGACACTTTTATTTACTCCATAATGGAAATAATGTAAACGAATTAGAAGATTTATACGGAGCTATCCATGAATTTCTTCATATGCTAAAGGAGGGGGGATATGTCAAATTTGTGGCAAAATGTGCCAGATTATGTGGTAAATTTGATAGCAAGGCATGTTTATTTTTTTTTATTTCAGGTGATTATTATTTTAGCTCATGTATTTCTAAAAAAAGACAATTGAATATTTGTTTACAAGTAGTTAGTTTTTCAAAAAAGACTATTTTGTTTTTACCTCTCATGTTTGTATTTGATCTGTTATTTCTCTTTTTTCATTGATCACTAATGCTAATTTAAAAGGTGTATCGATGCACAGTTTGGAAAATCAAATGAAATAAAATTCAGTATCTCAATTGATACTAAAATTTATAACTACATTGGCCCACTTTCGAATAATTACAAACCCCAATTTTAAAGAGGAAATGAAGACCCCTGTTAATCTAACAGAACAGAATACATTAGTTATGGATTTTCATCAATTATCGGCCAACTCTATCATAGAACCACATTGGATTGTTCATTTTTTATAGACCATAATTTTAGGTTAGTTTTGGTTCACTTCACACTCCTATTTCAACCAGTGCGGTTTCAGCCACGAATTGGGGAAATTTACCGCTAATGGAAAGGAGTAGTGACTCAAGCCACCATTGGTTGTTGAAATTCATGGCTAGCCATACATTTTGTCTTTCAGGACATTCTTTCAGGACATTTGTCTTTCAGGAAATTCGTCCTTTAGGACTTTCGTTGCTAGTTACGAAATCACTAAAGAAAAATCCAACTATACCCGTAAATAAAATAATTGATATTAATGTTATTTTCACAATTTACATTTTTTATATATTTTCAATAAAATAAATATCAATTCGAACAACAACGACACGAAACACACACATAACTTCCACCCCCTACAACGTGTTGAAAAAACAGTGGGTTTTGCAAATCGAAATCTATTTTGAGATTAGAATTTCGAATAATTTGAGGCTTATATAAGGCCATCTCAAGAATTTCTTCTTCTTGTTTCAGTAGAATATTCCGATGATTGGTAAATGCGTAATTTTTTTTTGATAATCTTTAAGTTTGGAAATCGAATTATAATGAAAATTTAAGACTCACAAGTCTTTTATTTAGAAGCGATTCAGAAGCATTACTTTCAGTAAAAGTTTCATTCATGTACTGATCAAATTCATTTGAAATAACAGTATTTGATTTATAAAGGGCCGTCCATAAATTTCCTCACACGTGATACATTTTTTTTAAATTTTAGATCATTATTTCAGTCCACCGTCAAAAAGTTAAAAGCATTACTTTTAGTGAAAGTTTTATTCGTGTAATGATCAGAAAGTTTTTCTTTCGTATTCAGAGGAAACGGTCAAATTTCGGATATGCAGTTGGTTAGTACCTCGTCCACTAGATGGAGTGACATTTTGTTGTTCGCTTCAACTTAGGAAGAGGAATGAAATACTATCCATTAGCCACTATCTTGCACTGATGAGTGGCTAATGAGCCCGAAACCGATCTGCAAGTGTGCCCATTCCAAAATTGAGGGTCGACTCTTTCAGTTGCATATGCAGGATATTTTCTATGAAGATTCCTGCACTGACGCCTATTGGATATAATCCAACGCCCTTCGTGGTATTAGCCAGGGGAGTAGTTGTTTTCTGACAGGCGTCAGTCCATTCAATCTACTGTGTAGGTATATTCGAGACTGGCTTAAACGTTTAAAGTTCATTTCTTTAGATAACAGTATTTGATTTATAAGGGGCCGTCCATAAATTTCGTCACGTCACAGGCCATTAACCAAGCATAGCCCCACATTGAAAATAACACTAACACCTTCAAACCACTCACATATACAAGAAATTCATCGGATAACATGAAAAGACTAACAAAAGAGAACATTAACATATGAGACTGGTAACTCCTTGGGTAGACATAAAGAACAAGTCGAAAAGGGGTTAGGTTATGTTAGGTTAGGTCTGAAGTGAGTGGGTCTATTCGACTCTCCACCGCAACCCGCAAGGGTTTATTGTGGCTCACACCTATACACACTTGACCAAATAAACCCAGCTTCTTAACGAAGCCGATTAGTTTGTATGGTGAGTGGTCTTTCAGGTCAGATGGTTAGGATACGGCTCTGCTGAACTCTAAAAACCTGATTCGGCCCTCAGCGGGGCAGGCACAAAGTATATGCTCTGCTGTTCCATCATTTTCCAAAAAAAAGGCGACACACACTGTCTTCCGACAGTCCGAGTCTCTGCATATGATGATTCAAATGACAGTGACCTGTAAGAAGGCCTGTTAGATATCGTAGTTCATCCCTACTGTAGTCCAACAACTATTTGGTATCAAGCTTCGAAGGGTGAATAAACGCCTTGGAGTTAGCCAATCCTGGAAGATTCTGCCAGAAGTCCATAAATCTTCTTGCCTTCCAGGTGTTCAACGTTTGTTTGGCCAAGCCTAAAGCGATGCCAATGACAGGTTCTGGTCCAATGAAGCTGCTTGCAGCACCCTCCTTTGCAAGGGAGTCACCAGCCTCATTGCCTTCCAGGCCAATATGGCCAGGAATCCAGACCAGAGACAATCTGTTTAGTCTTCCTATCGAGGAGAGTCGTTTTTGGCAATTTGCTACCAATTTAGACGTTGCTTGGTAAGAGCGAAGAGCTTCCAACGCCGCTTGACTGTCCGAGAATATTTTTATTGACTTGTGTATGAGGTTGAATTTTTCCGATCTCTCCGCACACAATTCAGTAGCGAAAATTTTCGCTTGAAATACAGTCCTATAAGTTCCTAGGCAGGTACATATCCATGTCCTGGGTTTGCAACTGAAAACATCTGCACCAGAACCGGTAGGTGTTCTTGATCCATTTGTGAACCAAAAACTATCTGCAACAACTATCTCTCCAGAAAAATGTGGAGAGGAGGTAGGTCAAAAAGAGACAAAGATAACAAATGATTTATATGGAAAGAACTTCAAGAAATTTCAAAACTAGAATCGTCGAACACGAAGGAAGTTTTAAGCTGAAGAAAACTAATTCCGTCCACCTATGCTTGCCCCCTTTTGGAGAATAAACAAGATTTCAATATGGACTACGACATATTACATACAGAAAATAATGGACTAAAAGTAAACCTGCTAGAATCTCTAGAAATCAATAAACGCAAAATTCATATTTCCTTTGAAACAACCAACGGGAAGTTATTCATTCACCATTACGTAAACTTGTTCTCATAAAATGTCATTAACATATTAACTGTTGTTCCAGAGATAATATTTATTATACCTAATTATTTATTCAAAATCTACCTGTTTTACTAGAATCAATCATTTATCTATATTTATGAGTTTTGTTATTAACTTCTATTACATAGAATAGTTTGATTTTGTATTTATATTTAAGTTTGCAGAACCCAATTATAGAAAGAAAACAGTTTGTTGAATTACTTAATGATTTTCCATGTGTTGTCTTTTTTTAAATTAGTGAGTTCATCAAGTTGGCAAAACCAAATCGAAATCTTTCACTTTTCTGAAATTTTTAATTTGCAACAACTTTTTGTTCATTTTAGGCTCTTTAATTACATTATTGAAAACCACAATTCAAATAAGATGCAGAAATACCTCACTTGAATTGAATATTTTGGTGGTATTTGAGCCCAAACGGTAAAAAGAAAATCTTTTTTGATACAATTTTGAAGCTAGAGAAAATAGGAATTTTAAAAATTTTTCTTTAGTTTCAGTCGAGTTTATAATTTTTTCATGCCTGACATTTCTTGTAGATGAGCAATGAATTAGGTTTAATCTGTTTATGTTCATGAAACATTTTTGGATTGTTTGTAGAATTTCAATCAGAAAAATTTCAAAACGTTTGATACTTGTGTTGTGATCATATTACAAATATTTTGAAAATTATAGAT